TCCAGCCATTGTTTTGGTTCTTTCCTTCTCCAGAGATGTTTCTATTTTTGTTTATATTTGTGTAAATAAATTATAAACTTCCCAATTTTAAGTTAAATGTGTTTGTGTGGTTTTTTTTTTCCTCCCACCTTCTCTTTTCTCTCAGTCCTGTGTGCCCAGGAGAAGACTCTTCTCTCTACGAGCTTGGTCACTATGCTTTCTTTCAGTATCATGGGCTATATTAGTAAGATTAGGGAGCCAAGCGCCATGCTTTTCTTGTAGCTTTTTTTCACCTGCGAAGGCCCTACCTTTTAGCTAGGCTAAAGACTGCAGTAACTACTTCCTCCTCCTCCAGCACCGCTCCTCCCTGGTTATAGACCGATAGCCAATTAAACTTCCGCTGTACAAACATGATTTTGCAGGTACTTTGGCTTCAGACGGACTCCAGCCCTCCACCCCTTTCCCTTCTTAAAACAGGAGTGCTGGGACATCTCCATTGCTTCCCCCTAGACAGTTGGGCCTTTGTGCCCTGAGCAGGTTGCTGTGGAAACCCCCAATTTCCTCTCTGGCCAGAACTGGCTGTGAGGCTTCTCAGGAGTATCGTAGAGCCGCTCTCATCAAATCACCTATTGTTTCCCTGCTCCTGCTGCTTATCAGAAGTGGGGATCCCCTTTCAGTGGCACTGCCCCAGCCGGAAGCACAGTCGCCACTCGCAGTCCCACCAGCTCGATAGTTGTAGGTTCTTGCTGCGCTTACTCCTTGTATAGCCATTCTCTGACACACGGTGGAACTAATGTTCCTGGGTATGTGGGTGCTCTCAGGCCATCTCGGTTATACATACTCTGGTGGTTCTTAGGGTGGCACAACAGTAGTTCAATCCTAGAGTTCCTTTAATCTGTAGTGTGATGAAAGATCAGTCATTTGTCCCCTTCAGGTACCGGCCCTCTCGCCTCTGATGTCCAGGGAGGTTACGTGCTCAAGTCAAGAGTTGGGTGGATGCATTACAATCTGCGCAGGCTTCCAGCCAGCCACTACCCAGTCTTCATTTCTTGATCTGTGCGCTCCGAGGTTCTTGCTCTGCATGAGGAAGATCTGAGCTCTTGGGCAGAACACGCCGAGTCTTTCTCAATTATCTTATTAAAAAGTGCTTGTGAAATTTTTGGTTTTTTAAAGAGAAGAAGGGGCAAGGTGCACCTCACCTATGGTTTATGGTTTACCTTCGTTTTTCTCTTTACATTGGTCCAGGGAGAATGTTTCCAACTAGTTTGTGTTAAAACTTATGCTTGTACATAAAGTGTTCATTCTCCAGGCTGTATGTGTGGTCACTGACTGCACATGAGCATCCGTGTCCCAAAGGGAGTTTATATCCACCTGCCTGGGAACTCAGCTCATATAACCAGCCATGAATGTCATTCTCTTACTGCTCCCTGTAAAAGCACCAGTCCATCCTTCTTTTGGTGTGCACAGGAGGGGCTGGTTTTGGAGGCGATAATGCAAGAGCTGAATGGGTCCCTGAGCAAAATGACAGGTCAAAGGGAATGTGGAAATGCTTGCAGGTGTGGGAAGGGGGTCGACTGAGGAGCACAAACGCTTCCTGGTCCAGGCCATCCTTACCAAGAAAAGGTTAATTTGCAGCACTGTGGCCTTCAGCCTTCTCCCCCCACCCTCCATGGAATCCTTTAATCACGTTGGTGCGGTGAAATTTCAGCCCTGAAATGGTGCCTTTGTGCAATCGTTTTGGCGTCCGCCATGGAGTGCGGGGGTCGTTTTCTTGTCCTTTTTTTTTTTTTTTTAAATGGATTCTTTGTTCCCTACCAGCCTCCCCTCCCCAGCCTTGCATCTGTATCAGATACGATTAAAGGGATAGGGAAGGATGCCGGGCCAGCTCCTGCTAGGCTGCAGGAGGAGTGGTTAACCCCTCTGTTACCAGCGGCATTCTTAGTTGTGAGGACCCTCCTAGATGAGAGTAGGCATCTCCTTCCACTAGAGAATGGTTTTAGGCAGGGCCCGCTCGCTTTCTTAATTTGCTTTTTGAAGAGCTGGAGGAGGGTACTTGTGTGTGGTTAAGAATTTTCTTTTCCTGCTCTTCTGTTCGTCCACACCACGTCTGTTCTCTCTCCCACCCTTGTGATCAGCTCTCCTACCCCTAACTCCACCATGGCTTCCCTTCTTCCCCACACATGCTCCTGACCTGCTCAGCAGTGCAGTAGTTCTCTTCTGTACTCTTCCCACAGCCTGTAATTTGGGGTAGAGATTTCTCCTCTCCAGTGAATGGCCACAGTCTTATTTTGCTTGGAACAATTTAGCCGGCATCACCATTGTTAGACCCATTAAGCCATTCTGCTGATGATGCTCTTGGCCCGATACCGGATTTCGACCAAATAGTGCTGTGAGTTTTAAAAAGCTTTGAACGTGTTCCACAGTTCCTAGACATCCTGCTTACTCTACTCACCCATAAAGTGTTTAGTGAACACAAATTCACTGCATCAATCACATGCATCAGCATTGAAACCCTTTGAAATCAATTTGTAATTGTTCTGGAGTCTCTATGTTAATTGGGGTCCTACCTTGCTACCATTGGCCTTGAGAGATGTTCTTAAGCAGACCGATGTCTGCTGTACATTTTCTCTCCACATTTTCAGATAGCCTCCCAGGACTTGACTACACCCAGGACGTTGTCTTCAACAAGTAAGATGTATACATCTGTTCTTGAATATACTCTGTGTGTGTTAGTGTTTGTATTTAGCTTCTTGCTTGTGGAAGGCAAGAGGCTGGGGGGTTGAGTTTCTATGGCGAAACTAATGGTTGCTTCCAAAATACACAAGTTTACATATGTGGGGAAATTTCATTTTGAAGGTACATCATCTGCCACCTGGTGATGAGGTACCAGGATGAGAAACCCCATGCTCCTATTCTGGAGATCGTTAACAATCAGGCTAAGAACTTCTTGGGTGAAGCACATGCAAAACAATGCTTTTCTTAATTGCACATGCTGAATCTTAGCTGAAGAACAGAAATCAGTTTTACTACATTTATCACTGATGAAATAATGAGCTGGAGTGTGAACAGAAGATGAGTTTCATCTCCGTGAAGGTGTCTGGTAACTCAGGCAGAGTCCTCTTCATGACAGGCAGAGGAATGCTGTGCACAGGATCCACGTGGTGGGATCCATCATACACTTACCGGGGCAAAAAAACGAGACTTGCAGGAAAGAGGTCAAAAAAACCCAGACACGTGAAAATGAAACTTTTAAGTTTATTATTCCTTATGTTTAATGCAAAGTTAATGGTGCTAGGACAGCATAGAGACTGGGGAAAGGGAGGTAGGGGAGGAAGGTGCTACTTGCATAAATAAGGGGACAGGGCTGGAAGAGGTTACATGCGTACAAGGAGCAAACATTCTACATGATCTTTTCAGACACCACAAGGATAAGTCATCCATAGCTAAGGGAGGCAGGAAGGGCATCTGACAGTCATATCAGCAGAGGGATACAGCGGCACCGATCACAGTCCACGTTTGGTCAAAATATTTTATCTTTCTAGACAGGAATATCCATTGGAAGGTCCCACAACATGTCTCTGCGATCAGTTGCCAGGAGTCATCTTTTCCTGCAGCAACTTTTGTGCCAGTTCACTCCCTGGCATGACAAACCACCCCAGTCCTGGAGGTGACAAAGGAGAAGTAAGCAGACTGTCCTTACGTGTTGGGCTGAAAAACGGAGGTTGATCTGACTGCGAGAGCTGGTCGCTTCCAGTTTGAAACCCAAAGGGGAAAACAAATTCCTTTGCACCTAAAAATAGGCATCTTTTCTTTACACTCATCCAAGATTGGGTGCGTATGTACCTTGCTTAAAGCCACAGGAGTATCTTTCCATCCTCAGCATAGGTAGGAGGGAGGTGTTGACTGACTGGAAGACATGATGAACAAACGAGCAGGGATGCACACCCCATCAGCCTGAGTTTGGAGGGAGAGTTCAAAGAGAGTATTGGAATCAACTTGGGACGTTGGCATGTGCATAGTAGCTTTCTTGGTTCCTCTTCTTTTTAGGCAGGCACAGTCAGACATGGAAGAGCAAGGACCAAGTTTGCTCAGAGGTTGTTTGGGATACTGAAGAGATTAGAAAAGACTGAGATGCCAGAAATGCCAGACATAAATGAACAATATAGAAAATTGTAAGAAAGGAGGATTCACCCACAGCACCTTAATGATTCACTGGTCCTTCCCCACCTCTCCTGCACCTCCATACATGAACACATATGCACACACAGGCTGTGGTATGAGTAACGCTAAGACTAAAAATGCGGTTCCTGAGTCCTACCCATTGTTCAGGCAAGACTTAAAATCTCCGTTTAGGAAAGAGAGTGGGATTAAACAGAGACAGGATGGAGAGAAGAGGTGGGGAGAAAAGCTAGGATGCAGCTGTGGAAATCAGCAGGGAAGCAAGTGTAGGTCGGTCTTCCATTGGGGTTCAAGATTCATGCATGTGTGAATCGTAGGTAGGACTGCTGCACGACGCTGATAGCAAGGAAGCCGGCCGTGCCGTCCTCCCTACTACTCCTCCCATAACATGTTCACCAAGGCTGAGCAACCACCCTTCACCCGCAGCAGGTGACAAAGGGTTGGCCATTGCGGCCTGTTGGAAACACTTGCTAGCTCCCTGGAGCAGTCTGGGGAGGAGAAGGAAAGGACAGTCTCTCTCATTGTACAGTCCAGAGTGCGCACAACGAAACCCACCACAGACCAGTCACTCCATGTCTAGAATCCTCCTTATCTAGAAGGCCAATAAGGTGTCACAAGCCAGTCCCGTGGCCTGTGTGAAATTGGTAAAGGGCGAAAGGATGAAAAACCTTCCTCTAGGCGGGTAAGCCAGCGATAGCCGGGGTCAAGAAAGGCACTTCTGTATACTCAGTGGGTTCTGGTGGCTGCATGGCACTGAGTGACCTCGGAGTTCAGAGGCTCTTCTGCCTGTGCTGATTCTTCGGAGCCTTTCCGTCGCTGCTTCGGTCACCGTCCCCCATTCCCTATGGTCTGGAGAGAGTCGTATACACGGGTTGTTCCCAGTGTGTGGGACTATGGGACTGTGGCACGGAGGGTGCAGGGTCAGAGATGGCAGTGTAAAGGGGACGTTGGGAAGGTCCCATATAAGAGAAGGCAGAGTAGAGGCCAGAGGCTTGGCTGGAATGGCTGTAGTAGGGTCCTGAAGGCTGGTGGTCCGGGTAGTCAAACTGTGGCCTGGAGATGGAGGGGAAGGCCGAACCGTAGTGGGGCAGACTCAGGGATGTGTAAGCTATCTGGGAGGTTGACGGCTGGTCGGTGTAATGACCTCCAGGGGCAGACCCCTCCGTTTTCACCTGGGCCTTGGAGTCTACCACCGATGAGGTGGCAGTGGACAAGGAGACTCCATGCTGCTTGGAGATCCAGGCAGAGTGTCCGCTGGCTGCAGCCAGGGCGCTCCCGAGGCCGTAGCCAGCAGCCGCCGCTGCCGCGTAGCCCCCAACATGGCCTGGGTGGCCAGCGTGTCCGTTGGGCGGAAGGTATTGGTCAAATTCATTGACATCAAAGGTCTCCATGTTGGACATCACTTCATGGCTGATCTCCCCGATGTCCACATTGCCAAAGTCAATGTGTGGCTTTCCCCCTTCCCCCAGGGAACGCCCTTCTCTTTTGGAGTCGGCTTTGCCTGCCTGCAGCTCGGTCTTAGGGGTGGTAGGAGGTGTGGGGGGCCCATGGCTCTGACCTGCAACGTAAAAAACATTTTGAGGAGGAAAGAGAGAGAAGAAATGAGTTACTGCTTTGTTCCTGGGCTTTATACACATGCCAGCTACACTCCTCCCAGCATGCCAGCGAGTGGAGACTTCAGTGCAGGGAGAGAGAAACAGCCAACCAAAACCAAATCTTTTTTATCATCTGGATAAAGAGGCAGGGTGCAACAATACCTTGCCTGACCACAGGAATGCAAGTGTCCTTGAAACTCAGGCATGTCCCTATACTGCTGACTCCAGCAGAGTTTTTTGGGTCATGAGCAAGGTGTGAGACGCATCAATAAGGCTTTCACTGTGATGACTTGTCTGTTTTTTGAGCCTCTGAGTTGGCTGTAATCTATCAGTAGGTTCATGGAGACCTGGGACTCACCTGAGGAATGTTCTGGATGACCATCGGACATGGGCGACCCTTCGCCAGGATGCCTGTGATCCAGGTGGGCATTCTTGTAGTGGGCTTGGATGGCCGCAGCCCCGCCAGCCTCCCCCTCCACCTGGCCTTCGCCCTCGCCCTGCGTGGCCTTGCCGTTTTTCCGCCGGCGGGGCTGGTACTTATAGTCGGGATGGTCCTTCTTGTGCTGCATCCTCAGCCTCTCCGCCTCTTCGATAAAGGGCCGCTTGTCGCTTTCGTTCAACAGCCTGCAGAGGCCACGGTGGTAAAGAAGAGAAGAGGGGAAGGAGAGGGGCAGGTAGGTCAGAAAAAAAAAACACCTGTGCACAGCATCGTGGGACACAGCATGTAAATCCAGATGTGAGGGTGTCGCCCCATTGAGGGTATTTCCCAGAACAACAGGGAGAGCTTGGAAGTATTTCAGTGGAGACAGCAATGTTCTCCTCCTCCTCGTTAATTATTAAGCCCTGATAGTGGTTGCTGCCAGCGCTGGGTCCCCCTTCACCAGCTGCGTGATGCTTCTCACCTCAGTAAGTTCAAGAGCCTCTTTTACATTGCCCAAAGGCAAAGCACAGCCTTCCATAGCCTTGTAAAGTAAGGCCGGACAAGCTGCTTTCAAAGACTTTGGGCAAATTAAGGGTAGTTGGGATCATCCTTCAGACTAAGGTAGTGTGGTACCCTTCTTGCTACCTGTAGCGCTGCCTCCTGCATGTCTCTTGTTCTTCCTCAGACTGTGTTTATTGCAGTTTAACCTCCCACCCTTCCACAGCCTCTGCTCCAAGTTTGAGGCTCTACTGAGCACAAATGGCAGCAATTGGTGTTGGCTCCACAGTACTCATGTTGCTGCGTGGAGCTTGCTGGGCCTTTAAGCATCTTGCAATATCCTAGAAGGTAATTAAAGAAAATTTTGAAAAGGAGAAACAGTGTATTCTGCTATTCCTGGAGCTCCTGCTCACCAAACATGCATAATGCAAAAGGCTGAAGCACAAAGGACAAGCCCTTCTTGAACTTAGCTGAGCAGTTGTAAAAAATTTAGCTGCTGCATTGCTAGCCTTGTAGAAATAAAGCTTTGGTCTGTGGATGAAAGGCCCTGCAGAAATATAAGCTCCTTCTCTGTATTCCTGCCAGATCATGGGCTGCTCTAGTTAAGATAGGCTCTCCAAAGAGAGAATGGCGAAATGTGCGGGCAGGGTGGCTCGGAGCACTTGAAGATGAGATCAACCTCATTGCTCAAGCCTTTAGCAGTGTCTTGGTTGGACGCATTTCAGTTTGATTTTATGATTTTCCCCTCAAATATTCTTGTGACTCAGTGTCATCCTGCCTCCAACCAGAAATCAGTGCTCTCAGAAGGGACCAGTCTTCCCGTGACTTGCAACTCCAACAGCCGTTAGAAATGGCAGGGCTCCCAAACGGCAAAACATATTCCACTTTTGAGATGTCCGTGCCTTTTTCTCCCCAACAAAAGAACTACCTGGGGATGGGGCTGTACCAGCACCCTGGTACCCCTGAAGCCCTCGGCACTAAAATGTGACCAGTTCTGTTAAGCTGTAGGCACTGAGGAAGATACAAAGGCCTGAACTGGCCTGAAAAACTGAAGACGAAGAGGAGGCATGGTTCAAGGAGCACACAGGTAAATCTGGTGGGGGATCAAAGGGGTCACCAGCAAGTAATGGGTTGGTTCCTAAGCACTCCTTTTCCCCCTGCTCCTTGTGGATCCTCTCGGCCAGCAGCCAGAAGGTGTGTGGCACGGGCTGGAGCCCATTACGGTGCTGACCTGGGTTCACTCCAGGCAGCCTGAGGAGGTCGCGGCCGCACACCACATTCCTCCACTGCCTTAATCCCGGAGATTAAAGCAATTGAGCCTCCGTGAATCCAACACCAGCTTTCCTGTCTCTCCTCCCGCCACCATACACCGTGCTCACACGTCCCAGAGGGCCCTAATCCCTCAGCCTGCGCTGCTCCAGACAGCCCTCCAAGGTGCCCTAAAGGATGTCATGGCCAACCCTTGTAGACATCGTGGACTGGGAGGCGGCGTTGCCTTGGCAAAACCTTCATCTTTGCAGAATGCCCCCTCTCCACAGGAGATGGAGAATAGAGGCAAAACCTGCAGTCTTGCAACCTGGGATGTATCAGTACAGGGCAGCCAGGCTCCGGCATCCCTGCACTCCCAGCCCAGATGGTGGTAAAGCTAATAAGATGCTGTGGTTGAAAATGAAAGGTCTCTTTCTATGTGGGCACCTCTCGGAGTGAGAGGGCTGGAGGCTGCACAGCCAGCTTTGATCTGCATGGTGAGCTCAGAGCAGAGCCTCCCATGGAGATCAGAGCTCAGCCTCCCAGATCCATCTTGTGGATGGCATGAACCAGAGCTGCTTGAGGCTATGCAGGACTCGGATCCCTGCCCTCTGAGCTATGCCTGAGTGCCTCACCTCCTCTCCCCTTGACAGCAGCCCATGGGTAGTGCCACCAGCAGTGCCACCAGCAGGACAGCAGCAAGTCCTCTCCCGGTGTCTTTGCCTTCTCCTTTCTGCTGCCTGCTCCCTCCTCCCTCCCGCTGGGATCAGAGCTCAAATCGGCTTTAGCAAAGTGAAACTGGTGCGAGCAGGCAAAGGCCAGGAGATTTGGGGGGATTTGGATTTCACTTGCTTCCTGCCCGCCCCCTCCTGCCCCCCACGCTCCCCCGGCCATAATGCAAAGGAATCTCGCACGGGCAGAGAAGTTATGGATCACAGAGCAAAGCCCTTCATGGGGCTTAACTGAGCCCTTGCCACCCTCCCCAACCCTGAACGCTCACCCCTGAGCCGAGGGGAGAGGGGCAAGCATCCAGCGCCCCGCTCTGGGAGGAGAAATAAGGGCTAGAATCTTTCTGCCCATCTCTTGCAGCCGCCCCTTCTGCCGCCTGCCATTGCACCGCGCTGTGTGCCAGGCGACCGGCTCGGCGGCCAGTGGGCTGACCCTGTGCCGGGACTCAGCTGCCGATGAGTCAGTGTGGTGATGGTGTTGGGCATCGGGGCTGATGCCAGGAAAGGGCTGGCTGGGAGCAGAGAGCAGAAAGCTCTCCTACATGTCCATGGCCCTGGATTTTGTGGGCACGACCCTATTCCCTGGGTGCTGCCTCCTCCATGCAAAGATCCCTCCGTTGGGCCCCCTCGCTCCTCCCTACTGAGCCTTCCTCCCCTTCTTCCCATGCCTTGCTTGTTTTCCAGAGGTGGTGCTGGCTGGCATTTTGGCTGAGAGTCACGCCGACATTTTCAGCAGCCGGCCTCCATTTGAGAGCTGCTCCCTGTCCCACCCCGGGGAAGGAAAGCAGCCAAGGCGAGATTTTGTGACCGTCGAGCATGAAAACCCTCCCTTCTTTTTTTTTAGTACATTTGGTTCATCAACTGCACCCTAAATGAGCACAGACTGGGGAAGATGGATGCGGCCATAAGCTCCCTGGCACCGCACTTGGGACCAGGCAGGTAGCATGGCCATCAGGGCATGTCCTGCAGCCCTTCCCAACAAGGGCTGAGCCCATGGAGGACGTGGCGGTGGCACAGAGCCGGAGTAAACACCAGGCTTAAAAAAAAAAGCCTGGGCCATTGCAGCCCGTTTTGCAGAGGAGGATGTGGGACGGCACTGGGGTTATCGCTCAATCTGCTAGCTGCCTTTCAAGATTTCCCAGCCTCTGCCGTCCCCACCCAGTGCGGATCGCTGGGGACGTGCTTGGTTTAATGGTGGTCTGCAGGCGGTCTCCATGCTCACCAGCGTTCGTCTGTCTGCCTAATGTGCCCTTTGCCTGTATAAGCTCAGAGCAGCCCATGGGGAAATTTAAGTCACCCACATTTTCCAAAGCGACTAGTGATGTAGACTGTAGAGTTTGGGTGGCCATCTTGTAAGGATGGGCATACGCGAACAGCCAGGGCCCTTTGCAGGGACCCTCATCAAATGTTTAAGATTAAGCTGTCCAGAGCTGAGCCTGGCTGCTCGCAATTGTACCAGTGTGTAGGAACTGTACCCTGGGGACAACATAGATGAGGGCAGTGGGAAGCTCAGTGGAGGAAGACCCAACTGTACTGTGGCCGGAAGGTGAGGCTCAGGACTAATATCCTGGTAAATTTTGTGGGCTGATATTTCTCCCCAGCCTCACAGAAAGACATATGCATGTGGTCCTATCCACGCCAGACACCAACTGCACCCATAACCCAGTTTACTCTGCTGTACAGTCCCCGTAGGGGCTGACGCAGCTCGGAGATCCGTACCCTGCACGAAGGACAGCCGGAGAGGAGAGTGGTTCATTGCCGGGTGGCAAACCCAGCAGCACAGAACAACTCCAGGCCTGATCCCGCAAGCTTCTCTAGCTGACCCACACTCCCTGGCCACGCAGTGCCCTAAGAAACACTCAGAGACCCTGATCTTTGTCTGGCAGCTGTGTCCCCCTGCTCCGAGTCCCATGTGGCCAGCAGCAGGAGCAGTGCCCTGGGAGCAGGGAGGCAGTCGGGTGCATGAATGTGGCCACGGGCTGGGGACTGTCTCCCTGCACTCTGAATGTAATACCTATGGAGGGTTTCACTGCTCTGCTATATTTACAATGGAAATGCAGTGTCCAGAGGGAGGCCGTTGCTCTGAAATCTGGCAATATTTTGCAATAAAGGAACAATACCTTGAAATACCACTTTGGGAACAAAAGAGCTGAGTTCCCCCCCTCCCAGAGTTTCACAGCCTGGATGCTGGCAGCCGAGCCCCGGGAGGGAGCAAGAGCCATGGTAAAGGGAACAGAAGGCAGCGCAGAACAAAGCAGGGAAGATCATCAGATAAGAGATCCACAATCATACCCTGCCGTTGACTTCCCAAAGAAATCCCTTTGCTGGGGTTATACTAGATGCTGATGGGTCGGAGTAAACGGGCTCATGCAGCAGAGGGAGAAGCTAATGCCCAAGGGCTCGGTTCCTTGTGAGCAAGGATGTTTGAAGCCACGAGGAGACCTTGGTATCAGCTGCTGGACGGGGAGTGTTTTGCTTCTGCTTGGAAAAATACTTCTTGGCTCAACCAAGGTTGAGGGCTTCCTCCATGAAATGCCATCAGGGCAGGAGAGAGAATGAGAAGGCCCGTTTTCCGTGAGCCTTGGTTTGCGTTAGTTGGTGCAAGGTGAGGGGGGGGACAGTGCTGGGGACTTGTGGCAGAAAGTATTTATTTACAGATTGATGGGGTTATCAGCAGAGACCTTCAGATAGGAAAGAAATGGCACGGTCAGCCTGACACACTTGGCTTGGGCGCGACGGCTCTCTGCACATCCACCGGCCGGCTGCAAGCAATCAAGGCAGCCTGTCGGTCTACCGGAGGAAGGAGGATTGGGTTGGGGAGGGTACGTAAAGGACCCGGGGATCCACACAAAGCCAAAATGAAAATGGGCACAACAAACTGGTGGGGCCAGAAGGACGAGCGTGTGTGTGCTGGCAAGAAGGGAGAGCATCTCTCTGGGTGCAAAGGGAGATGGGGACGGTTTGAGCCAGCATGTTGCAAGAGAACCTGCTGAGGCTGGGACTGTTGCAAGTCTCTTCCTTTCTGCTAAGCCACAGCCCCCCCGTTCTAGCAGAGTCTTTCCTTGTCCATCTCGCTGCACCTGCATGGCCTGCCAAAACTGGCACCGTCCTGGGAAGGATGAGCGTGGGGCTCCAACTGCGTGGCTCCCTTCCCCCAACTTTCCTCCTCGGCCGTAACTTGGTTTCCCGCTTGCTCTTCAGCACTGCGTGGAAAATAACCCCTGTTGACATTGGGACCTGAGTTCAAACAGGCTTGAGGCAGCCACCAGTGAGTTAAGTTGGATGGGGCTCAGCCCGATTCCTGCTAGTGCACAACTTGGCCCAACAGAGAGGGTGAGCCAAGAGAACAAGATCTTAGTGAGAAACATGTGGAAAGGGCTGCCACCCAGGGTGGAGGTAAGCTCTGCTGAGAAAGCCTTCACTACATCCAACCAACCACTACTCTTGCCCCAGAAACCGACCTTGCCTGCTGTGAGGGGGTTCCCCACAGGGAAGAAATTTCCCTCAAGGGACACCCTTTCCATCCCGCTAAGACTCCATCCTTTCGCATGACCACACAGCCCTCTCCAGGACACCTCCAGACCTCAGCCCTTGCACTACCCTTCCGCCTGCCCGCTCTTACCTCCAGAGCTTCCCCAAGGTCTTACTGAGCTCGGCGTTGTGGAGGTGCGGGTACTGGTCAGCCAGTTTCCTCCGGGCAGCCTGTGCCCAGACCATGAAGGCGTTCATGGGCCGCTTGACATGGGGTTTGCTCTTGTTACTTCCATTGACCCGGACAGGCATGGGTACCAGGGTCCAGTCATAGCCACTCAGCACCTGGCTAACCGCCTCACGGATGCACACTGGGAACTTGTCGTCATCTGCCTCCGAGTCTTGCTGTTCCTTCTTGACCTTCCCCATCTCCCCGTTCCCAGAGCTGGTGAGGTGCGGGGAGTTGTCCGATGCCATGGAGGGTCCTGGTGAGAGGCAGTGGTGGTCTTCAGACCCCACTGGGCTCATCTCCACCTCCGAAAGATCTTGGTCGTCGGCCATCGTTGTTCTCAAGCCCTATCTCTCTTCCTTCTTGGTGTCCTTCTTCTCACTGGGGAAGGGAGGGAGGAAGACAAAAACAAAGGAAGGAAAGGAAAGAGAGGGGACAAAGAGGGAAAAGGAGAAGAAACCACCAAATCTGAAAGGGACTCCAAGCTCTCCGAAGAGCTGGCCACGAGACAGGGGCCACTCGATAAAAGCGCGAGCAAAGCAATTGCCGTGCACACCGCAAAACCCGTGATCGTTGGGGGTGGGGATGGGTCGGGGCCCCTGATTAATTGGGATATCGCTCCCTATCTCTGCAATCATCTGGAGCTGACATGTGCGGAGGGGCCTGCAGCAAGAGGGGTAAGGGGGGCTGAGGACCTGAAAGGAGAGAGACATGGACTGTCCTGGCTGGGTGCAGCTCCCCATGGGGAGCGGGATGGCGGGGACAGCCACAAAACTTGTGTGGGTAAGTGCCCCTTTCTTTTGAAGATGTGCAGTGAAATGCCAGCGCAGTGCCCGGGGGGAGGCGTGGGAGGGGGAGCGCTGGCACCGTATCGATAAACCAGAAGGGACTATATCCCAGCTATCACGGAAGCTGAGCAGGCAGCACCACCGGGCAGGGAACCAACCCGGGCCCCGAATCCGCACCCGGAGACCCTGATCCCGGCTGTGGGAAAGTGCCTCTGCAGGGACACCCCATCTCTCACCCTCCTCTCGCAGCTCATAAACCAAAGACTTAAAATACATCCTCACTGCCTCCCCAATACACGCCTGTCTACGTGTATGTATGCATACTCACATTCACATATATGTATACACACACACAGATACAAACAGAAACCAAGTTTAACTTTGAGACAAGCTAAGGCTTTGGGTTGCCTGCCCCGCACACTCCTCTCTCCTGTCTGCAGTCGCCTCTAAAAGTCCCTGCCGCCGTGCAGCCGTTCCCCCCTTGGAGAAAGAAACACTCTGAAAATAAAGGCCTCTCTATTTCCCCCATCCAGAAATTAAAAAAAAAAAAAAAAAAAAAAAGAAATTAAATAAGAAGTGATAGAAAAGCATGACTCTGGCTTAGCTGAAAAAGAGCCAATGCAGAGCAAGGGCTGCTATCCCTCCAGTTTCAGAGGGCGACACGGACCCTCACTGGGGAAATCAAAAAAAGTAAGAGAAATTAGAGGGGAAAAAAGCGCGAGTGAACGTGTGCGCGTGTGAGAGCGAGCTCAGGTAGTAAAACTTACGTGGCTGGCCGGTGTGCCGGGCAGATCCTGCGAGGGCTGTGATTTGTATCCCAATAGCCCCCCTGTTCTCCCTCCCAGCCCCGGCGGCGTCGGGGCGCGCGGCACGGGGAGGCTCTCAGGCAAGTGCCATTCCTAGAGGGAGGCTTGGTTTTTACTAATACCCCGGCTGGATGTCTCTAGCTGGCTTTGCTGCTTAGCACCGGGGGAGGGAAGGGCGGAAGGTGGAGCCAAGCACTCCTCAGAGCCAGAATATGGTCGGTCGGGGACAACGGGGAGGGGACGCAGGCAGCCCCCCACCCCACCTCGGCCGCTGGCATGATCCCCGCTTTCCCCCAGTGTGGGCTTCTTCACGAGAGCCACCGGCGTTGGGCTGCTCTCGGCGGTGTGGCTGCCCCAGAGATGGTGCTGGAGGATTCAGCCCCAGGGGGTTTGGGGTGGCTGGGTGCTGGAAGGGGTCTGAGGTGGTTTGGGGAGATGGGTGTGCACCTCAGGACTGGGATCCCCCTCCTTCCCCCTGCTAGCATGGTTGCTCCTTCAGGGTCTGATGCCCCCCGTGTGCCCAGTGAGTCCCTGGTCTCCGTCACAGAGTCTCACAGGAACCCCAATGTGCTGCAACAAGCTCGCCTGGGACCACAGGGTCAAGATGCTGCCAAAAGGGTACCCTCATTCAGACCTGAGTCTGTGGGGCAGGGAAGGGGATGCCGGAGGTCAGGGGTGTCCTGAGGATGGAGGACATCAGATCCAGGGAAAATACCGTGCTGCTGGACAGTGGATACCAGTTTGAATCCTCTTAGGACTTTTGCACCCTAGGGATGGGCTTGTCACAACATGTTTATCTCAGTAGGGTCTTGCCAAGACAAGCAGGCTTTGCTTCCTCCAATATGGTGAATTTCTGAAGGCAAATGTGGGGTCTTTCACGATCAAAGGGAGGTTTACTGATGAGAAGGACTCTCTCACGCTCACTCACCCTCACTCCTCATGCACTGGGACAGGTAGAGGATCTCAGAACTCAATGGGTTAAGATGTTCTCCATCACTTCTTCCATTTCCTAGCTTGCTTTCCTTCCCAGATGCCTCAGATAGTTGGCTTCAGTTTCCTTTGTCACAGAGGCTGCTATAGACCAACACTAAACCTGTAACCCTGAGAGGTCACCCATGAAAAATCTGACGATCCTCCCAGGTACTCTGCAGTTAGCAATGAGGCAAACCTAGCTTCTGCCCCAGCTCCTCACTGGAGAACCAACCTGCAGACGATCCAGTGCCAATTCAGAAAATAGAGAAATGAATGGCTACGACCCAGGGAACCATCTTCAAGGGATTTCAAGAACATTTCCAACTCCTGTAGCAGATATTCCCTTTCCACAATCTTTGTGTTATAAAGATCCAGCCAAACCATTGGCTGGCGCCACATGAAGCATATGGGAACCAGTCCCAAGGATGGTGCTGAGCACCTGAGCTAAAGCCCTCAGAACAAATCTGTGGAGCTGGCCGCTGCCCTTGCAGACCTGGCTGACAGCATAGGGACACTTCCCTGCACATGTACCATTGTCCGGAGTAAGTAAAGCTCTGAAACCATAGGGTGGCTGCAGGGAAAACCTCACTAGAGCCCAGCGAGAAGTTGTTCCTGAACAGAGCTGGGAGGGGGAACAGCTGCATGCCACTGGCATCAAGCAGGCAGAGATGCTTAAAGGTGCCCCTTGCATTCCTCAAAAAAACTCTCAAGTCATCATCTCCTGCCTTTCTTCTCTTCAGCACTACCTACTCCAGATAAAAGGTGGGCTTAGATACTCTTCTTCATATGATGCCTTTTTCCCTTTGGAAGAGAGGAATGTGTGTGCCTTTCTCTTGGATGCTGAGAAAACCCAGTGGAGAGCCTATCAAAACAGCATCGAGGTCCTGTTTCCTCAACCAAAGCAGTGGCTGGTGAACCTCAAGTCTTGCAGTATGAGATGAAGTTCTCTCACCAAGAGAGACCCCCATTGTGGTTGTCACAAGAAGGAGTCTCGCAGCACGGACAGGGGCAGTTTGGCAGCTCACCCTCTGTCTGGCAGACAGATAACCAGCAAAAAACGAAGTGGGCAAGGTCGCTTTGTACAAAGTTGCCCATGGCCCACTGGATGCAGAGTCAGTGATGCTGCAGAGCTCATGGCATCTTCCCCCAGCCAGCAAGGGTCATCCTTAAGCTGCAGGGACCCTGCATAAGAGGTGTGGGAGAACTGGAGGGAGGGGAAGGTTGGTCTCCTGTCCCACAGGGAGATAGCCACTGCCGAGAAAACACTGCCCTGCTTGTTCCCCTGGCTGCAGCCAACCTCCAACCTGGGCCAGGGAGGAAGAATGCCACAGAAAATAGCCAGAAAAGGGTGTTTATTTGCCCTCCCTTCAGGTGGCTGGTTCCTGTGGACCCCATGGGAAGAAGGCGATGGGGCAGGGATTTCTTGTTTCCCTCCAGAGTGGGGATACAGGGCGCTGGGCACCAAGTGGTAGAGAACAAGAGGCTGGGGGTTCTCCTGGTACTTTGATAGAGAAGATGCCCAAACAGGAGACAAAGGAGCCCCACAGGGTACTGAGAGGAGCTTCACAGCCTGCTCAGCTCATGCCCCACATGCAGCGACCTCTTAGCAGGCTCTGCAGGGAGAACAAGATGGTGCTCGACCCCAGCAAGACGGTGAGGGGTGGGGCTCACATCTTCCTGTGTATCCACAGGGTCTGGGTGAGCAGAAGGGTGTCTGACCCACCACTCTCAGCTGGGGCAAGAAAGGGATCAAACCCAGAAGAGATTTCAGTAACCCACAGGGCTCTAGACTGGTGTTTGTCCCACTGCTCACCATCCCCATCAGTGGCTGCTGCCACCTGCCAGACAGGAGCTGGGTCCCATTCTTGCCTTGTTGGAAGAGCTGTGGGTGCCTCAGCTGCAGACAGGGACATCATCAAAGGAGCATGTACTGGCCACACAGTCTCTGCAACCTGCAGTCTCAGTGTCTTCTCACATTGAAATGTAAGAGAAGGTTTTTTCCCTTCATTCTGCCTTCCTCCGGTTCTTGCTTTTTGTCTCCTTTGGTCTTTTTTCACAGCACTGATGCCTCATATACCCTTTTCCAAGTCTCTTCTCTCCATGTGTCATCTCTTGTGCTACAAGAGGTGCAGGAGATACGGCTGGGGAAAATATACCACCCCTTCTTTGCAGCATGTATTTCTATGGATGAGGTGCTCCAGGTTCATAAAAAGGGACAGTCCTTTGCAGATGAAAGATCTACCAGTGAGGTTGGTTCATGAGCCGGAGACCTTGCTAAGCAATAAATTTCCTGTGATGTGTCAATGAAATGTTTTCTTTGGGCCTCAGCCCCCAAAATGCAAAGGTGGAAGGATGTCACTTCTTCACCATAAAGGCATGTCAGAAGGACAGTGGGTAAAACTGGGTGGGAAGTGGAGATGTCCCACCACGCTAGGTGCCCCTGCATCCACATCGCTCCCAAGGGCAATGGGAAAGATGCCCTGCTCCAGGCTGGGTGCTTGATGAGCAAGGTGCATCCTCTCAGGGGCAGGCAGGGGCACCTGCTCAGTAGGGTTTCAGCGAGGGGACCACGTTGATGGAACACCTCCACCCCTCCACCGCCAAGGTGGGATCGCTGAAGTTGCTGGGGAGGAATTTTGCTAGATGACACCTATCCCCTGCACCTGTGACAAGCGAGGAGTAAGAGGGGAGAGCTCCGCAGCACAGAAGCTGCAGGATCCCCAGCAGGAGAGCCAGGGCCAGCTTTTGTCCCCTGCCCAGCTCGGG